GTTTCCCGTGTGATTTACCATATTCATTAATACCATTCATCCCTTTGTAATGATACATACCAGACTGTCAAGGAAAAGAAAAGAGCTTTGGATTTTATTTTTAAGATAAATATATAAGTATGGAGGGTAAAAGAGTCAGATATTACTTGAATAATTATCATAAACTATCTTTTCCCACATGTAAAAAAATCTAACTTTTTTTATTTTTATAACACTGCATAAAAGCTACTTAAACCACAATTCAGCTGTAGAAATTACAAGATTTTTCACAGAGCCAAAAATTCCATAGTTAGATGTTAAAGTCTTAACTAACTGGAATAAAAATAAGTAGATAAATAGAATAGTAACAGACATATAGTTTCAGAAATTCCTTTCCTGAAGAAATGTCAGGTTTTTTTAACTTTGTGTTCTACATCTGTACAACATGGTGAAAATTTTAAACCTTTGGCTGAGTAAAGTACTTATTTGTTTCTGTGTGTTCTTTGCAGTATTATCAAATAATAATTAAACTGCATTAAGTAATCTTTATATGTTTATTGAATTTTGTTGATTTCATACATCTTAATCATATTTTAGACCCCCTTCCCTACCTGCACCCCCATAGCCCACCCACAGAACTTCATGCATTTTGTCATATTTTAAAGCCTATCAAGTCCAATTTGTGTACCCAGATGTCCCTCAGTGTGAGTTCATCCACAGAAGCCTGTACAGCCTGTCTAGCATCTCTCCCTTAAAGAATACCAACTCTCCCTCACCCAGCAGTGATCAGCTGCCAGTACTTCCTTGCCAAAGTTGTGGCCTCCTGTCCATTTCCCCAGTTCTATACTGATTTCTGTATGATATCATTTTCATGAGTCTTGTACATGCTGTCACTACTGTTGTATGTTCATATGCGCAAGGTCCCAGGAGCCTGTAAGGCTTTATTTCTGTATGGTCATGTACCTTCTTCCCTGGTTCTTAGGATCTTTCCATCTCCTCTTCCACAATGGCCCCTGAGCCCTGGGTGGGTGAGGTTTAAATAGGAGTCCTGTCCAGAGACCCAGACTCTGCAGTCTCTTGTTCTCTACACTTTGGCCATTTGTGGCCTTTTGTGTTCATTGCCCTTTGTTGCATGAGGAAGTTTGGCTGATGACAGTTAAGAGATGCATTGGTAGTCTCTCTACCCCTCTTTGTTCCACTACGTTCCTTGAGCCTTCAGTGTAGAGGTTCCATTGTAGATGTGTGACTGAGGCCTGGGCATCTCACAGACACTTATTCTCTGTGTGTGATCAGTTATGGAATTTTGTAATAGTCTCTGTCTGTGGCAAAAGAAGATTCTTTGGTGAGTAGGGACTGGCATGCTTGTCTGTAAATATAAGGATCCATATTTAGAATATAGTAAGAAATACATTTGTCTAGAGATGTGACAAACTTAGATTTTCTCTGAGATTTATGACCTTTCCAGCCATCCGTATTTAGCTGTGTTGACAGTGCCACACATACCCCCAAAAGATTCATTCTACTACAGAGATAGCTGTATATCCATGTTTGTTGCTGTTCTTTTCACATTAAATAATTTTTTGAGTTGATGCAACAGAGTTAATAATTTTTTCTTCCAATTGAAAAATAGCAAAAGTTAACATTCAATTTTATGAAAGGATTGTATGACATCATCTTAAAATTGAAAGCAACTCAAATAAAAATATGTAACCCTAGATTTGGAACTAAATCACTCATATTTCTATAATACATACAACTATTAATCAGATAAAGTACTAACAAAAACCCTTTTTAATTGCCCATGAGCATTCATCATGATATACCATATTGAATTTAAATTTGTTTTTCTGAGTCTTTAAAGTTACTGTAAGTTAAAGTATTCTTTATTTTCCATTACAACCATCATGAGCCACTTCAGAAAGGAAGGGCAGCCTAGTTTCTATATTCAGGTAAAGATGCTGTGAGGCTTTCTGTCTCTTCAGCTCTATTTGCCAAGACAATCACTCCTACGTAAAATGAACATTTTCCTTCTTGTGGGCATGTCTGGGGCTGCTAAGGAAAGAGGACAAATGTCATGTGGGGACAGAGAGTATTCTAGAAGTTCCACCTAGGGGCATACTGGGATTTTAGTTGGAACATTTTAGCAGGGCAGAGCATTCTTAGAACCTCGTCCTGGCTCATCTTCCCCTCACCACAGAAGGAATCAGTGGCAACCAGGAATCTTTCCTTTCTTCCTCTGGCTCCAGTCCAAAGGTTAGATCCTTCAGCCAAGAACCTGAGAAAGCAGAGCAAGCTCAGGAAGTCTTCTTGGATTCTTGCCTGCAGTAGACTGTGCCAGCTGGATTTCTCGGGATGGACAAGGGACAAGACTTGACTTAACGCTACTCAAACAATTTTTAGAGACTTCCAGGATAATCTATAAGAGAATTTATTGCCTGGATTCTGTCTGCTTAATCTGGCAATGCATCCTTAAGAAACTACTAGGAGTGGGCTGGAGAGATGGTTCAGCAGTTAAGAGCACTGGCTGTTCTTGTAGAAGCTGGGGTTTGAATCTCAATACCCACATGGTGGCTAACAACCGTCCATAACTCCAGTTCCAGAGTATCTAACACTCTCTTCTGTCCTCCAAGGACATTGCAGGATACGGGTGAACTTACACACCTGCTGACATACACTCACATACATAAAATAAAAATAAATAAATTTTTAAAAATTAAAAAAAAACTGTAAGAGCAAGAGACAGTTCATTTACCTCTCATAATCATTTCACTAAAACAGATGCTTTCAGAAGGCCATTGCATCTTCCCAGGCAAAATCAAATGACAGTTTATGCTATTTTTAGTAACTAGGGGGTTTTATTCTCTAAAACATTTGATTCTTCAGTATGGATCAGTAAGTTAGCAGACGTTCACTCTGCACTTGTCCTGTATAAGACAAGTTGAAGGAGGTACATTTTTGTTATGCATTTCTGTTGAAAGTAGTCTTAAAACCTTGGTTTTAGTTTCAACATATCAGCAGGGTAGCTAAAAATGAAGCTCACTTTCAGGTCCTTTTCTTGCAGCATCTCTCTTACTACAAGGAGTTCTGCCTTTCTTTCTCATAAAACATTGAACCATTGAAAAACAATAATGGGAAGATTTTTAAATTAAAGCCTTTGTTTGTGCCAAAGACTAGACAAAATTAATTCATAACTCCATAATAATAACTACTAAGAAAAGCACTGTGAATTTCGAGGAACACTGCCTGTCCAAGCACTATACCCCCACCAGTCTCAGTATTTAGCACTGATCTCCCTACTTAGCCAAGCAGTCTCCCTGTTCTGAGGTTAGTATTCAGGAGCGGTAGGCAATCTGTCAAGGAGAGCTATTTAGGAATTATGATAGGTCCTATCATGCTCAGAAAGGAGAACTTTTATTAACATACAATGAACTCTCGACAGCAGAGGCAAATCACTAAGTATGTGAGGCAGCGACAGTCCACGAGAAATGGCTGCATGTTGACAAAAACCTACCTCATCTGGTGGAGAGTTCATTTCTTCTCCCTATTCATTCACAAGTGGATTTGCTCAGAGTTCTTCTTCCATCACTAATGACATCTTCCCTTCTCCTTTCCACAGGTGTCGTATTCCCTTACTTTCCACGACTGGGGCGCTATAATCTCAATTTTCACGAGGCACAGCAGGCTTGCCTGGACCAGGATGCTGTGATTGCTTCCTTTGATCAGCTGTATGATGCCTGGCGGGGTGGGCTGGACTGGTGCAACGCTGGCTGGCTCAGCGACGGATCTGTGCAGTACCCTATCACCAAGCCCCGAGAGCCCTGTGGTGGCCAGAATACCGTGCCCGGAGTCAGGAACTACGGGTTTTGGGATAAAGATAAAAGCAGATATGATGTTTTCTGTTTTACATCTAACTTCAATGGTAAGATAGTAATTTCATTGCCTTCTTTTCTATCCCAGAGCTCGAGCTCTACTGTGCCACTATACCTGACTTTTAATGTTTTCCACTTAAAAAAAATTATTTGTGGTATTATGCTAGTTGATACTCAAAAGTTCCTAAATCTTGAATGTCATAGTTTCTTTTTAAATATGCCGTGTAAGTCAAACAAAAATAGCCTATTTCTGATATTCCTAGGTTTTAGCCCATCCATTTTTTTAGCCCATCCGTTTTTAAGAATAGTTGAAGCTGTCACGTGGTCTTGGACTGTTTCTTATGGCCACAGCAGGCTATTACCACACTATCATTCTGTCCACTAAAGGAAGGTGCTTATATCACACATGTCCTCCCAATCCCAGTTATGGTGTGATGATCAGCAAAGTTCAGGATAAAGGGAAAACTGGGTGAGACAAAGTACCACTAGCACTGTACATGAAAGGCAAAGCAAGGTTTCATTCACCCTGATCACTGCCCCATTGCATCTTCCCACTCCCTGCCCTTCTCTTGTGCCAACCTGAACAACCAGATAAATAATTTGGGGGGCCCTTTGCTCAAACTTAATTAAGAATTTTAAAAAGAAATTGTGGGGCCCTTTGTTCAAATTTGCTTAAGAATTTTAAACTACATGGTGGCACATACTTGTAGTCTGATCACTCAGAAGGCTGAGGTAGGAGGATCATGAATTCAAGGACAGCCTGGGCTGAGCTGTGCAGTGAGGTTATATAAAAAAAGAAAGGAGAAGGGAGGGGAGGGGAGGAGAAGAAAGGAAAGGAAACCAAAAATATTTTATAATAGTGACTACAGAGACTTAAATCAAGCATGGGGCCTTCTAAGTGTGGAACCTGGGTGAATGCATGCACAGATCACATGACCATGAGTCAACCCTGGCCCCATGGTTTTATATTTCAGGTCCTTGGTGACAGATTCTAGAAGAAATAAAAGGAGTTGATGATGACCACAGAGTTCTCTATAAAGATCCAGATGGCAAATGTTTTCTTTACTTTGTTTTGTTTGTCAGTGGTCACTCTTACCCAAGGGAGATTTCTATGTTGTAGAATATCAGTGGCCAGACCTGGTGCTGCCCCCATACCAGGCACTGCCATCATACACAGTACTTCTGCCATACATGATACTGCCCCCATACCCGGTACTGCCCCCATACCCGGTACTGCCCCCTACATGGTACTGCCCCCATACACGGTACTGCCCCCATACACATTACTGCCCCCATACCCGGTACTGCCCCCTACATGGTACTGCCCCCATACACGGTACTGCCCCCATACACATTACTGCCCCCATACCCGGTACTGCCCCCTACATGGTACTGCCCCCATACACGGTACTGCCCCCATACACATTACTGCCCCCATACCCGGTACTGCCCCCTACATGGTACTGCCCCCATACACGGTACTGCCCCCATACACATTACTGCCCCCATACCCGGTACTGCCCCCTACATGGTACTGCCCCCATCCGGTTCTACCCCCATACATGGTACTGCCCCCATACCTGGTACTGCCCCCATACATGATACTGCCCCCATACACAGTACTGCCCCATACATGGTACTGCCCCCATACACGGTACTGCTGCCATACATGATACTTCCCCCATACACAGTACTGCCCCATACACGGTACTGCCCCCATACATGGTACTGCTGCCATTCAACAGATGGATATGTTTGTATCCCAGACAAGCTTCATTTTCAAAACATGTCTAGGTCAGATTTGAACTCACATGTTATGGTTTGCTGAGCTCTGTATGGATGACAAAACTAATTCTCTAGTTGATAGTACAATGGCTTCCACCTTTTTTTTTTTTTTTTTTCAAATTTCATTAGCTCAAACTAGAAAGAACTGGAAGGCATTAATGAATTCTTCAGTGGCCTATGTCTTGGCCTAGGGAGATAGCTCAGCTATAAAGTACTTGCCTCTCAAGTATGAGGACCTGAGTTGAGTCTCCATAACTCACATTAAAACACCAAACATGGTGGTGTGCATTTATAGTCCCAGCACAGGGGAAGCAGAGCCAGGAGGATTCTGGGGCTTGCTGGCCAGGATGTCTAGCTTAACAAAAGATCCTATATCAAAGCAAGTAGACAGCATTGCTGAGGATTGGGCACCCAGTGTTGTCCTTTGGTTGCCATATGGATACACTAGAAACAATAAACAAATGAACACACACACACACACACTCACACCTATATGCATAAAAACAAAAGAATGCCCTATGTTGAATGAGAGCCAAAGGGAATCTCATTACTTTAAGTATTCTGATAAGAAAGTGTGATTATATTCTAGATGAATGTAAGATAACTGAGAAAATCTTCGATGTGCATCACCAGTCAATTGATATGTTTCATACATTTATGTATATTTCATTCATGTTAATGTGATCCCAATAATTAACACCACAATAAGTAGATAAGGAGTTGAGATTAACTTGTCCTTCCTGTGAAATGAAGAAATGGCATGGTGTTAGGCCTTAAAAGTTGAAAATTTAAAAAAAAAAAAAAATTCAAATTCCCCTGCTGGTAAAGAAGCACAGGCCGGGTTTACATTCTGAGTGAGTATCATTGATGGCAAGTGACTTCCTGTATTTTATGCATCTTTATACTGTAGTCTTTGATGAGAATAAAGTCTTATTGATACCTGTAATGAAAAGAACTTGAGGGCTTTTGATTTTTTTCTAATGGACTTTTATGTCAAGAATGTTTTTTGATCCTTTCACATTCAAATTTTGCCTCTCTAGAAACTTGCACTGGGTTCAGTCTTGCTACAACTAGAATTTAAATAACCCTTCTTTCAACATGGAATTCTGTCTTCTCTAGAGCCACAGAAAGGTTCTTTTAGTCACTAATTAGCTAACAGAAACTGCATCTGTCATCACCAGTTTCTTTTAAATGCTATAAAGAGCTTGTGAGTACACATTATGAAGCAAGGGGAAAGCAAATTTACTTAATCTAGAGTGACCTAGGGATATGACATTTAATTGGCAACTGTATGCTCAAGTTTCAGACGTTGCTCTGCTTCTTCCATTGAGAAGAAGCCCTTTAGCTTTGAGCTCCTTCTATCTCGGTGCTTCCATCACATGCTCCCTGACTCTCTCTTTCTCTCCACAGGCCGATTTTACTACCTGATCCACCCCACCAAGCTAACTTATGATGAGGCGGTGCAAGCTTGTCTCAAAGACGGTGCTCAGATTGCAAAAGTGGGCCAGATATTTGCTGCCTGGAAACTTCTCAGCTATGACCGCTGTGATGCAGGATGGCTGGCGGATGGCAGTGTCCGCTACCCTATTTCTAGGCCAAGGAGACGCTGCAGTCCTACTGAGGCTGCGGTGCGCTTCGTGGGCTTCCCAGATAAAAAGCATAAGCTATATGGGGTCTACTGCTTCAGATCATACAACTGAGTGTGCCCTAGAGCGCGTCAGAGTTCAAGTCATTGAGAACATGTGAAAAGTTTTTTGTTTTATTTTTGTTTCAGTATGAACTCATGCAAGTTACCAAAACTGTGATAACCTTCTTTTACTTACTGTAAAGAATCATTTTCATACAGGCCAATTCATTAATTTGTTTTTGTAACACTATCATTCAATATATATTATAACAATACACGTAAAAGGGATGCTAAAAAAAAGAAAGAAAGAAAAGGCTTTAGAGCTAAACTGTTTTATGCTACATCATCCCAACAAAGTATCCTCCCCTCAACCCAGCACGTAGTAGATTGACCATTACTAGGATTCTGTTAAGGAAAGTCAAGCTACTCAGAGCAGCAGCTTCCACAAGCACAAATTTTACACATTTTTACAATTTTGAAATGCACTGCGATAAACAGATTAGAGCAACAGGTTTGAAATGCGGGCTTCTTTACATAAACTGAGATCCCAAGAGGTTGTATAAAACTCAGTTTCACAAGGGAACAATGTACTTTTCTAAAAGTTAATACTTCAAGTCTCCAGTAGACAGAATGTTTTACTCTTTAAAATCTTACCTTTTTGACCAAAAAAAGAAAAGAAAAATGATGTGGATTCAAATGCATGGTAATAAGCACAGTGAGAACTCCTTAATAAGTCCATTTATATAAAGTATAAGACTTAAATAAGTAGATAATATTTTACCAATGAGAGATTTCTACCTTCTAATTAAAATTACCTATCTGAGAAGAATTGTTTTATTTTTTGAGTAGCTTTAATGAGTTATATTTAAATTCTAAGGAACTTTTGCTAAGCAGTATTTAGGATCTACTCAGGGCAGTTAAATAGATAAACTGCTGGACAGAAACCATGTAAAATTTAGCAGCTTGATTTTATGTTAGCTTATGAAACATTATGTCCTATAAAAAGAACTTTAACCTATTTAATATTTCTTATTTACATTAATTGAACAAATCATCAAGTGAACGAACAACTCTACACTTGCCTAAGAAGGCAATACACAACTTTCAAAATCATTTCTATCTTTATATACACTAGAAAGCCCAAACAGGACCTGTGTTTAGGAGGGAAAAGTTAAAAATGTAGTTCTAAACATTCTCCCAAACAGAAAATACAATCATTGTCAATTTCCTTGCTGGTTATCAGTAGGCAAGAATAAAATGCCGAAGCTGTCATACAAGAGTTTACACAAAAATCTTTCAGGGCTTTTAAGTGAAAAGCTAAGTCCAGGCTCAGAAAAACAACTTTCAGTATTAGCAACTCCAATCTTAAAGAAAGCTCTGTTTTCTTACATGTTTTTATGACTGTTGAGACTCCACAGGGACCAATATTTGTATTCAAATAATATTTCATGTTTTCCCCTTGTTTCACAATGAGTTATAGCAAATGGAACTTAGTACAGTAATCCAAGTATGACATAGCTGGTCTGTTTTCATGAATGTTTTTATGTAGATTTTCTCCCATGACCATGAGCAAATAAATCTGTTTCCTGAATTGATTGTGGTTGCATTTAAAGTTCTGTAGTAATTCTAATAAATTCACTCTATAAATACAGAGATAAGTGTGTAGAAGGTAAGGAGCAACTGGAAGTCCATGAAAGCTTAACTATATTCATATATTATCTAGGTGAAATATTATAAATAAAAGTAGAACCTTTCATTAAAAGCATATCTGGAAATTTTCAGGTGCTTTAATATTAAAAGATGACAATGTATGCATGCACATTTTAAAATCTGGCTGGTTATTCAGATCATGCAAAACTATAAATCCAAAGAGGTTGTGAAGTTTAGCTCAAACGCTGCAGGTATAATAGAAGTCACACATATAAGTTACAGAAACCTGAGTGGTCTAGTGTACAATGAATACATTATTTAAAGAGGGGATTATCTCCAAACTAGCAACTCCAACACCTTAAGTGTTGGGGTTAGCTTATTGGAAGAAGACCATACTTGAACAATTATTACCTATAAGAATTTTGTCTGATGTACAAGTGGCAAAAATTTTCTAATGAAACAGGTATATTATTGTCAATTATTGTCATATAACTACCTTTATAGTGTTAAGCATAGTAGCATTTCTTAACTTTTGAATACTTAGTATAGGAATTGGTGCTGCTCAAATTCTCTGGAGTGACTGTTAGCTGATTCAAGTCAATACCAATTGCATGCCATTTGTCCATTCTTGAAAAAAAAATCATACAATGAACATTGCTAGTCAGAGTTTTTAACTTCTGATTTTACATGAAGGACCATAATCTTCATACCCTTTGGACCTAATTGAAGAGGGATCTTTTTAAAGTTCTCATTTTATTGTTTTATTCCACAAAATGTATATTTTCTTACTTTATATCTCATTGAGAATGTCTTTAGAAGAAAAGGTATCTGAGTACAGTTCCTACCAGAAAGCTGATATAGTATTGACTAACTCAGAAATTGCTTTGTAGATTTCGAGATTCCCAGAGATTAGACTACAAAAAGTTACCATCATTTTGTCTTATGGTCCATATAATGAACAAACACAACTACAAATTTTACCGAGACAACTGCATTTGAAAATCTATACAGAAAGACCAATTCATACAAAAATACAATATAGAAATAAAAATAAGTTGTCATTTTAACACTGGATGTCATCTTTGAGTGACTGCTGCCATATTTTATCACAGCAATTTTTAGCCAAATATAGGACTTGTAAATTTAAACTTTCTTTCATATAAAGGGGCCGGTACCTGTTAAAGTGTTATTTTACGCAATAAGATGGTCGCTTATTATTTTGGCAATTAGTAGGCTCAAAGGCAATTTCAGTCTGGTTGCTGGCAGCCATACTGGGTTTCTTGATTTCAGTACTCCAGGTTCTGGTGGTGTCCTGGAGTAGCTGACCACTAAAGAAGGAAGGGTTAAAAGGGGATCAATTGTCAGGGTTTTTTATTTTGTTTTTTGCATAGAATGCATCAATAAAAATCTATTGACAGCTAACAGTTTTTTGAGACGTTAACTCTATCATAGCTCACTACTGCCAGGACAGCATGGTGTATAACAAAAGCTATGAATAATACAAAAATCATCAAGCCACCCAATTAAAAGGAAAGTCAATATTTAAAATGCATTTAATAGTTACTAAGTGCAAGATTGAAGAGAACCAATATGTATCACAAAAGAATGTTTTCATTTTCTGTAAGATAATGAACTGGTAAACGAATATTAAAATCAATTTTGTTTTATTGCAGTATCTTTTGAATCAGCCATTATTCTTTGTGTCAAACTCTTTTCATGTATTATTTCTACATAGCAGGATACAATGGTCTGTTGCTGGTACAATGATTTGAATAAAATCACACCTCAAAGAGTTAGAGCCTTGACATTCAAATAAGAAAGTATACTTTAAAACTTTTCCCATACTTTTCTGGAATACACTGAACAGCCTCAGAGAAATCTATTTTCAAAGATGATAGGGATTAAATCTTCTTTTAGTGTGCAAACAAAGTGAGAGACGCCATCTTCATTTTGTGATAATTTTTTTTTCATATTTGAAATCTAGTCCTAAACAAAACCTGTGTTGCAAAGTGAAAGATTCTATGAAGGTTCTCAGTTCTCCAAAATAAGTTAAACTGTTCATGTGTGATGCCCTCAGTTTCCTACCAAAGACAAGGCTTAACACTTTGACTGTTATCTAGTAGAATGGATCCTGTGTTTGATTGTAAGATGAGTCAGGCATAGAAGGAGAGCATTTATAGAAGGTATTACTGAATGGCTTGTGATAGACATTTAAGAAGAAACTGACATAATATAGGCTTTCTCTTTCAATTATTTGGACCCTCCAATGTAGGATTTTTTTAAAGGTCCTATATCCTTACCTCTCAGGAGTTATTATATTAGAAAAACTAATAGCAGACTACATGTTCTAATCTTAAGGAAA